CTCGCCTTCCGCTTCCGCACCGAGGTGGCCTACCTGGCGCACCTGGTGCGAGTGCGCTCCACGGCGCGCGCCGCGTCCCGCCACCCGCACACCGGCCCCGGCCCCGGCCCCGCCGCCACCTACGACGCCTTCGTCTGCTACAGGTCAGCCACACGGTCACGCCGGAAACATCTATATATGTAAATGGATATATACAACTGGATTTATCAACATTTTCGTTACCAGGGCCCTGTAATGACAGTTCTTCTGCCGAAAATTCGCCGTTTCCCACACAGCATTGCATAAGTTTCTCTCTACTCCGTAGCGAGGAAGTAAAAAGGAATGGTGCTAAAACAGCACGTAATTTCTCGTCCGTATTTTAACGCAAAAGTACTCAAATTTACAAAAAAGTTGTTCATGACCCTATTTCAAACTCTATCGATAAGGAACAGATTTCATTCAGGTAAAAATCTCTATTTTAAATATATTATTTGTAGGAAGACGCCAGAAACATTTTGAACTATTGCAATTTTCGAAAAATCGGGGTTTTTAACGAACATGAGATCTTCATCTTTCTCTTAAACGTCAATCACACTATCCAACAACAAAATATAATCAAAAACTATGAAACCTTTTTTTGTAAATTTGGAAAATGCCTCACGGACTTTATTTGAAGTACCCCCAAATATTAAAATATGGGTTTTAAATTCAATGGGCCGTGAAGTCAGTCGGATTGTGTGAGGAATATTAATTTCTGAGAAAATCGGCTGAACGGTTTAGCCGCTAGCAAGAGACAGACTCCGGACAGACAGACGTTTTGCTGTCAATTGATTTTTTGGTATCAAGGCCCCAGAAAACATGAATTCATGCTGCACCACGTGATAGAGTTTTCTTTTCTAAATTTAGCAATTGGATTTATCCATTTTTGCCTTACCAGAGACCTGTTATAAGAGTTCTTCTGTCGAAAATTCGCCGTTTTACACACAGCATTACATACCTTTCTCGCTACTCCGTAGCGAGAAAGTGAAAAAGGAATGTTTGTTGCTCATAGACGCAAAAACAACGTCATAGAATTCTCTGAAATTTTCGCACATTGTTCTTATTAGTATGGGGAGTATTTAAAGAGTGGTTTGAATAAAAGTGGACACGGGGCGGTGTTGATAGTTATTTATTTATGACAACTCAAACAGCCTTAAACTACGCAACCCGCCGCACAGCCAAGGATTGAGCGCGTCTTCACTACATATAAGTATTCTGCCCCTGCGATTGTGCAATATCGGCCGGAATTATTACTTAAATCTCTTACAAGTAAATCCCAATTCTCCAAGATAATGTTGCAGTGAATGCCTGCCAAAATTTGAGAGACATTTTAACAAATGGATACTTGACAATCGTGTCAAAACCAGGACATAGAACAAACCCATACTTGCGAGAAAGTCTTTCATCTATTAAAATTTTACAGAGTGTAATGTAAAACCTGATTAACAATCACGTGATCAGTGTGTGTGATGTGCAATACACTGCAGTAGCAAAACATTGCTGTGTCCACTAGTTTTTAATAAAAGTCGAAGTGGCCTGTAACTAATTTAATCCCGCAACTATGCATGTAAATAATATTTCCCTAAAAGAACATTTTTTACGCTTTCTTCCTACATAAATACATTTGATGCGATAACTGCATTGGTTTGAACTTTTCATTTGGCGGAATCTCAAAACAATAGTCATTTCAGTAGCCACACCACACTGACAGCATTAAACCATGGTGACCACACATCTCGAATTAGCCGGGACAGTCCCTTTGTTTTGAGTTCCTGGCCTTATTTTTTTTACAGGGAAATCGAGAAGGTTAAATGATCTTTTTTGTGACAATGACTTGTCAGCTGCCGGCAACAATTTTTTCATAATATATTTCGTATGATTACCATTTGTTTATAAAAAATTAAGTAAGATAAGATATTGTGTTCAATTGCCTCGTAACAAGAATATTTAGAGATTCGGTTGTGATTTCTATGAAAAGAAAATGTAGCTATGGAGTCTTTTTAACTTGTATGCTTATCACTAACGATATCGTTATTAAACTCAATAATCCGATTCATCTGCTTCTGAAAGCTTCTGTTCAACGTAGCATGCAATCTTAGTGGAGATGGAGAAATACTGGCCTACTTCGTAATAAATAAAAGTACAAATTAAAAGTGTAATATTAAAAAAAATGTTCCTTTCTAAGGGATTCTTTAGTTGCCGTGAATTGAATGCTACATCATAAAAATTATACATACTTATATATTTATTCATTTAATTAATCTTAATTTACAAACCTCAATATTTGTAAAATAAAATAGTGTTTAACGTTCTCTTTTGCCCCTTTTATCGTTGTGACAAAACCTAAAATGTCAGATTTTAATATTTTCAAAGTATGGTCGCCTTTCACCAAACCGCTGGTCAGCGCAAGCCGAGCGTGTGTGTGTGAGTGTGTATGTGATTGCAGCGGGAAGGACCGGAATTTCGTGCTGCGCCGCCTGGTGCGCGCGCTGGAGAGGCCGCCCGACTGCTTCCGGCTGTGTCTGTACGACCGCGACTTCCGCCTGGGCACACACATCGTCAGCAACATCGTCGACGCCATCGACTGCAGCTCCAAGGTGATGGTGGTGCTCACCCAGCACTTCATCGCCAGCAAGGTGCCAGCACTGCATAGCGCTGCTTTGGCGTAAAAGTTCGCAACGAGACATGGTGCGCTCGGGAACTGCTAAGGCCTCGGCCACGGAGAAGTACCCCCAAAAATACTAGCTGTAAGATGTAGACTTATCGGGAAATTAGTCACATTAGGTGTTTAATTAAAGCCTTTGCGGCGTTTCAGTCTTGACAATACCAGTCACAGAGGAGGGGGGGGGAATCTGTTATAAAACTTGTGCTAAATGTTCGTAATTCAAAGTCGCAGCGAAAGTATAGTCTTCTACTCGCGCATAATAGTTTTCACTCTTAGAAAGACTTTAGCTGCCATCTGTCTAATACCTGCAAAATAGTCGTCCATTACTCGGAATGAGATTCACAGATTAAGCAATGTTAGTTCCATAGGCTGGTACAACACATGCCATCGCGAATGAAAAGAGATGCGATTATTGATTAATCCCTGTGAATAAAAAAACGTGAAGTAGTCAGCTGATTGGTGTGAAATGCGTGGTGCAGAGGGCAAGATGGCTCTCTTTTTGGTCTTCGTTTTTTATGTTGAAAAAGTTGTTGGAAAAGTTGTGTGGGAAGTTGTAAGGAAGAGTAGTGACTGCCATTCGAGTACAGTTGCCCAAATGTTCATCACTGAGTCTGTTTCTGTACTTGTTTGTGCTCTGTAGAAAACGCCCAAGTTAGCTAACCTTCAGTATGACCGCAATCTACCGAAAATTGCCTCGCGAGCGACTAGTATCTCGCGATTGACGGTTTGGCGATCACTGCCGCATATACTTGGGATTTAATTCTTGTCGCGTGAGGGCCTGTCTTCACAATGGAATATCTATGGCATTTCGCGTCTTTCTCGGTGCGACATGCAGTGACATGGCCGAGAAAGACGCGAAATGCCGAGAGATGTTCCATCGCGAAGACAGCCACTCATGCGCCAATTTATATAACCCAAGTTTAAGTGAGGGGTAGCGAATTGGCGTGTTGGGTGTGTTGCAGTGGTGCCAGTGGGAGCTGGAGATGGCTCAGCACAAGCTGTTCAGCGAGGACCGCGATGTCATGGTGCTTCTATTCTATATCCTCTTAGCGCCGCGCCCTCCTCTCTCTTGCTGCGCTTCCTGCTGACACGGCTCCGGTGGTGCGCTGGCCGCGTGTGGGAGCGCGGAGCGGCGAGCGCAGCTCGTGCGCCGCCCAGCTGAGTGCGCGCGCTGCCGGCCCAGCCTCCGACGCCCCATGCTGGCCCAACGAGCTCACCAGCCGCTCCTATGGCAAGCGCACCCGCGCGCACGCCCTCTGAAGGCGGCTCCACACGTTCGGTATTCGGCGAGTAGAGTGCAACCGCACGGCCAATTCCGAGTAGAATGGACGAGTTGCTGGCTATTTGCCGAGTGACGAACATTCGTTATCGCCCTACCCACCACGTGTCGGACTTTTGCGCACATCAAAGGAAGCGAACATTCGCCGAGCACGTCAGCTGTTAAGGATTGGGTGAGCAGAAGCTTGCTGCGAATTCCAAATGTGTGGAGCCGCCTTGAGGCTATACTATGCATGCACGTTTTCTTAATCCTTCAGCTCCCTAGTTCATGCTCAGCCCAGCATAAAACGGACCGGTAGAAAATAAGAGTACCACTCGGAATATAACTGCTCAGTTTGAAGTGATGCCCACCTTCTTCCTTCACATGCGGACTTGTCAGCTTTCGCTCTCTCTTTCTAAAGACCTTGTTCTTGTTACTCAATAGTTTCTACAATTATTAATTACTTCTTCAGATTTTTTATAAAATCGTTGCGTTGTTTCTCATTGCTTTCTAGTCGAAGACGCGCTATTATGCTGGGTTTTCTGACGATAACGTTGACAGCATTGCACTGCCGTGACGTAACTTAAGCATTCCTCCCCCCGGGGAGTATCAAGAAAAAGTGCGCGTATCGTACTTGGATTTATTTAGAGCTGCCTCGGACTTAAATCAGCTGATACGCTGTCATCGAATCGGAAGGTTGAACATCACCACAGTGACGTCACTGTAGTTATGTATATGCTCCCAATTGGATGACTCGCAGATGAGACGCAGATCCGTGACGCGCCGCAGTATGACTCATGTCGAGTTCCTAACGGCAGAGTGAGTATAAACGGCGATCACTGCAAGATGGGCCGCAGTTTACTCCAGTACAAGCTCTGGCGACATCTATGAGATCTGCGATGTTAGTGGATTTGAGTTCTGAATCGGATGCAGAAAGCGAGTTCTACTTTAGAATAGTTATGTTACACAGTTCTTATGGAACAAAAAGGAGAAAGAAGCGATTTGATGAAGAAAAGAGAAACACGTGGAAAATTTTCTATAAGGAATTAAATGATGACAAATTTCAGAACTATTTTAAATTAAACCGTGATGCAAAGACGTACAAGATCTGATCAAAATGAAATGAGAAGAGAGGGCTGCAACGCCCAAAAGCCCATTAGAACCGAGAAATAATTAGCAGTGTTTCTAAAATAAGTCTATTTATTTTATAGTATTTTAGTTATCAATAGAGTCCAGATTTGTAAACAAATCCATTTAATTTTTTCCTAGTGGTTTCTTAAAATAGTATCACTTTTCTTTGCCAATTAGACTATTTGCAGCTTTCCTGCCAAATTCTATTTTGCATATTTTCGCATATCTAAGGTTACTGCATATTTCTACACTTTCAGCGAAGTTTTTGTGATAATAAGGGAAATTTGGTAATTTACTTAAATTTTAGTTAATGATTAGCTAATTTTTAAAAAAATGTCTTAAATGAATCTTCTCGAAATTGGTTAGCACAGCTCATAAAACACCACATTATCTTCATTTAACATCATGGTGTGCGTCAAAAAGTTTACGAACACGCACGACTTCAGTTTTTCTTTTATCTTCACGACGAACCTTCGCAGGAAACTGCGAACAATACACTGCGCTTCGCAGGCTCACCACGTACAGGAACGGCGACACGTCACCCTGCGCTCTCACTTGCGCGAGCCCAATAAGTATAGTGGTTCGCAGAAATTCACCATGAGTCACCCTGCGTCATGTCGCTGACCTACGTCTCCTGAGTAGACTGACCGCCGCCTCAGCGGAGGCTGCCCCAGCGCTCAGAAGAAAGGAACAACGCAAATTCCAACAAAATTATGTACCATTATGTACCATTGTGTTCGCCGAGTCAATCAGAGGACATATGCAATGTGTGGCATAAAAACACTTGTTGTTATAAGACCATGAGCTGTATTTAGGTTGACGGCGATGACCTTCACAGGTTTCTGATTCATGTTTAATGTGTTTACACGAGCTCAAGACTGTGCTATAAAGTGAATCTTCTTTGAAGACATTTTGTTAATTGTTGGAAACTGTAATTTAGAAAATAATAGTCCTATTTTTCTACAAGACATTTAAACAATTTAGGAAATATGTAACAGAGATATGTCAACTATTATTTAAAGAAAGTCATAAAGGCCCATTCACAATGCAAACATAAACGTAAGCATAACGCATAGTCATAAACTTTAACATAAGTGATAGACTGAAGTATTCACAATGTCCAACATAAATGTAAGCAAAATAAGATTTTATATTGTATGTGGGCATTCCAGTTTACTATTGGATGGATGTAAGAATCGGTTTCAAGATAATCACTGTGTCCACGGCCTACGGCTTCGATTTATTTATTTTGATTTCAATAAAGTGAAAACTAAATGATACTACTATAAATCTAGAAAACCGATATTTTATTCGATCTAACGACTTCGATCATATTTCGATACTCGATTTTGAGTTAACTACTGTGATTGATTCATTTCTTACTTAAGCATAAGCACAGAAAGTTAGCAAGCCATAGTCTTCCGTGTTATGCTTATGCGAACGCATTGTGAATGAGTCCGCTTGTGGACGTAGTCCCAACTTTAATGTTAGCGCCATGCCTATGTTTATGTTTGCAATGTGAATAAGCTTTCATATTTCTTGCGGAGCACTGTAGAAACAAGCCGCGAGCAAAGTTCTTAGATTACTAATAATCAAGAATTTAATCATTGTTTAACGCGAAAGTTTAAAGCTAAATGCAACGAAAAAATCTTGTTAGGCCATTCCAGAGGTAACAGAGCTCCCAAAGAAAAATTTGCATTACCAATAACATGGGGCAGATCCTGCTGATCATTTTGGTGAGGACCATTGTAGATTTTTGTTAAATAATAAACATATTTATTATTATATTGTATATTATTTGTGTACTGTAGAAATGATACTATACTATATTATTGTTTAAACAATTACGTCATTCAAACATAAATTAAAATTTTAATTAATTTTGCCAAATAAAGGAAGCTAAAGGTAAACTAAAACTGTAGGCCTTTTGGGGAGCACGGGTCCCATGGCCCCCTGGATTCGCCAGTGCCAATAACCGCTGAACAAATAGTTAAACTTTCGATCTGTAAACGCACTTTGGCTCGTTTTGTACGTCCAGCAGGGTTAAAAAAACATGAATATACGGCTCTATGGGAATCAGGTTCCTAAATCCAACGTCGTATCAATCTTGCAAATCGGCTGAATAGTGGAGCCGCAAGGTGAAATTTGCCAAAATTAATATGACACCCCTTCCCCATTCCGCGCCGCCGCCATCTTCAGACAGCGCGAGCAGAATTATATCTCATCCGAACTCACGAGACATATTTGACCTCAGAAGAGAGTGCGACGATGGCCGTGATAAAAGTTCAGTTCTCCTTTAAATACCGGAAACTGCTGCAAGCATTCATTCAACAACTCAATTATTTTGGCCTAGATGGTAAGAGGTATTGTTGGAAGTGACGTAAGTAGTATCGCCAGATGAAGGTACTACATCCAACGATTTCGAATCCACTTATTAAACCGTTAAAACAGTAGAATGAGTTATATGAAGAAGTGACATACACAGGGAACATAGATACTAATATTTTTCAAATTTGTTTTATGTACCGGGTCCTGATTTAGGTTCTGCATGACCCCAAGCACAAAATTGTGTTTGGTAGCCTGCCCCCACCAAAATATCAGTGCTACTTTTTTTT